TTTTTTTTTTTTTTTTTCCACTGGCTCTAATCCTCTTCCGTACCCTGGGGCTGGTTTTAGCTATGGAGAAAATTCTTGGCTGGAGCCAATTTTCATTACATTTACACTTGCTCATATTTTCCAGACAAAAAGTTAATGGCGCATCTCCCAAATGTCCTGGCCGCAACAACAACGCTTTTATTGGTTCCGCTATCGGGACGGAACCAATAATGGCGAACCGTTATTTTTTAAAAATAAATAAAAAAATTGAAAAAAAGTCCATTTTAATGTTTTATTTAGATTACAAAAATAAATCATAATAAAAATAATCCTATTTATGATGTTTTAAAAATTAAGACCTACGAAAGACTGATTTAAGACATTTTAATACCAATTAAGGCCTTAGTTTTATTTTGAAGAATTCAATGCCTTTTAAGACTTTTTAAGGACCCGCGGGACCCCTGCTTAAGCCCACACTGATCCCCGGGCGCCGCACAATGGCGGCCCACTGCTCCCCAAGGGGATGGGTTAAACGCAGAGGTAAATTTCTCCAATGTCAGATCAACAGTGGTGCCAGCCGGGGGTTGCCATGGCCACCCGTTGCAATGCCCTGGCCACCCCACTGGCCAGTGTAAATTGTAGTAGCATTAGCTTAGCATTTCTTTCCATTATGCACAGCCAGCGACATAAAAAATTTTTTTTAAATCACACAACGATTTCTACAGGCACAAAATTATGGCTTTTAGTTTAAGTATGCCACCGCGAAGAAACATTTCTGTAGGCGCCACTGGAGATCAATAAAGTTCAGTTATTTATTTATTTTACAGCTTAGGAAAAACTCCAGTTTCCTTTAACATGCACTGTGGACATGCCTAATGCACATATAAAATAAGAGACTGATACACACAGATGAGAAGTTTAAAAAAATTATTTATAATATGATACAAGGATATTTTGTGCAAGACCGGTAGTTGGTGCAGTCAAACCTGTACATTATGAACAAAGCACTTAAAATCCAACCTGAAAACAGAGCATGGCTGCAGGGCCATGACTGTGTCAAATGGCTAACTATCAAGATACTACTTTGCAATATACAAACAGGTTGCTTTACCTGTATACAATGGCTGTTTAGATTCAGATTACATTATTTATATAAAGTGCCGAAGGTTGACTCGTGGTATGATAGGGATTCGTATAAACTGTTGTCCATTGCTAAGCGGCAGAATATACACTGTTATACAAACTTAGTTACCAATCTGTGCATATGCTTTTACAAAAAACGAATACAAACAAGTATAAAAGATTTAATAAATTCCCGTTTTTAAAATTCGAACAGATGCTTGAAGCCTTTTCTGTGCAAATGTTTGTTATTTTTGTTCTTCACAAGTGAATAAGAACTGACCTGAAGTAGATGAGACGTTTCACACTTTCTTTAAGGGAATAAGAGATCTTTAAAAATTATATTCGTATGAAAATATATAAGATGTTAGTGACTAGATTAAATGTTTTGTATACATTTCATAGTTCTGTACTGCCACTATAATGTGTCGATGTTACAAAAGCGAGTGAATCCAGCATCACAGTTGAGTGTCGCCGATGCAGGAGAATGGAGGAGGCATCGAGCGGTCCGTTAGACTAAACGCGTCTCCAAGCTCAAACGCCTCAGCTCGGGGAGGATTTTCTAAGTTTGCTGGGAACCCTGCGGGGAAAGAACAGCAGATGCATTCTTACAGACAGCTACCACACCTTAACAAGCTTTTTCTGTGGTTCTTACCGAGTTGGTTCGTTTCCGTTTCCAGCAGTCTGGATTGAGTCTTTTCTGCTCCTCTGCCAAAGCCTTGGCCTCCATGGTGTACATCCTCCTCTCCTCGCTCCTCATCTTCTTCCATTTGTCACCCAGGATGACACTAATGGCTCTAGGGTTCAAAGGTAAAAAAGGAAGGTTTTTGGTTTTGCTTCCCTTGTTCTTCATGTAATAATGATAGTAATATAAATAGCTGCTTATATTAGTTGGCATTAACCATGTCATCGCTACTCCCTGTGAGCTTTAGTATCTTAGCCCTTATGCTACGTTCACACCGGACGCAGCAGAAGCAGCGAGTTTACATGCAAAGTCAATGGTTGACGCGCGTAAAGGCGCAGCAAAAGGTCACGCAACACGTTTTCAGCAGCAGGCGCAGCGCGTCTGAGCAGCTGAAGCAGCACGTCGGGAGCGTTTAAGCATCTGACGCGCCGCAAACGCGCTACTGCTCGAGATGGAAAAATTTAACTTGCTCGACGCGCCGCATCAACCAATCAGAGAAGCTGATCTGGGAGCTGGCGGGGAGACAGACACATCACTGATGACACAGAGCGCTGTGATCACTCCTCTGAAACTGTTTATTAACGCCTAAATTAACTTAAAATGCTGAAACCCACCGACAGAATATGTTCGCTTTTATTATCCTGGTGCCTCAGTTTAGATTATTTAGATAAAAAACACCTACCAGCCGCCGAGGTAAACCGCGAGGAGGCGACCCGGCCAGAGGCTGCTGTTGAATGGGATTCCTAATGACAGCGCACCGCTGAGCGGCTCCGACAGAAATAATATTGGAAGGCAGGATGGTAATCTGGATGAACTGACTGCAATGATTAAGTTTTCAGGTGGATTTTCTCACTTAAAAACATATTAAAACTACTTTATTCCCACTGATCACAGCAAATATAGCTGCAAGGCAAAGAAAGGATAGAGTAGCTCCGCCCAACGCGCGTCAGACACACTTTTGCACCGCGCAGCCAGAGCAGCAAAGCTGCTTCAGCCGCGCGTCAGAACTAACTGGTACAAGCAGCAAAAATGAAGCAGCAGACGCGATTTTGCTGCTCCTGCTGCATCCGGTGTGAACGTAGCATTATACTTAATCACATGTAGGCATTGAGAGCCCTCAAAGTCCATCCAACAGATCTGATGTAATGCTGGAATGCAGTAGGTGAATCCATTTAATTGGAAATGTATTAATATACCAGAAACTGGAATAAAATTGTCCTAAGTAAATGGAATATAGCATATTCCATTGGGGACTTAATTAAAAAATATTGAGTTGCTTCACAGAATACTAACTTGTAATAATTTAAAACATTGTTTTATATATTGAAGGAAGTGGGAGTCTAAATCTATTATTATATGATCAATGAGGTTTTCATGATGCAGAACTAGAAAAGACAATAATCAGGGAATGCTAGGTCATTTCTGGATTAATGGGCGAAGATTAAAACTTCTGAAGCACTAAACCTTTGCCAAAAAAAACCAAAAAACTATTTTTCGTGTTTTAAAGATAACAACTATGGAGAAACAGAAATCTTTTCTTACCGGTTGTCCTTTCCAGGATACATCTGCGTGTATTCCACTCTGTACTTCTTGGCGAATAGCATGAAGGCATTCATCGGCCGCTTGCATTTCGTAGGTGTGGCGTTGCTGGCTGTCCCTGAGTGGTGGCTACGGTGGGATTTGCTACCGGAGGATTGTGGGGAGCAGGAGCGCTCCAGCTTATAGCAATCTGGGCTGACAGCGCCCCCGCTGGAGAGGGAGGCTCTGCGCTGACGAGCCATGCTGCTCAGAACGTACACTGCTGAGGAATCCAGAGGAGTGAAGTCATAGCTATGGGAAAAAAGGACATAAAACACATTTAAGAATGTAACTTAAACTATATTAAGTTCATTTATTAAACTACAAATTCCATAAATATCTTTATGTACATATAGTACACCAGGGCTATCTTTAATGAGAAGACTCCAGCATTATCAAAACATGTAAATGAAATTGATGACCTGTGTTATCATAACTCAGCCTCTGAATGTTGGTGACAATAAGGTTATAAACAGTTTACCTTCTGAAAGTGTCAAAGACAACTGAGTCATCACAGTTAATAGCATCTGGGTGGTTTGGTGGCAGGCACACGTCTCCCAGCTGCATCTCATAGCAAGGGATCCCATGATGCACCACAGTAAGGCTCGGATAAAAGGAAGACCACCCTGACAGAAAGAGATGACATAGTACAATTCTTTTAAACAAATAGGACATTTTATAATTATGGTGAGCAAAGATTATTTGCTGTTTTTTTGTTTTTTTAAAGAATCTGAAAAGGATGCTATTCATAGCACCCCGCCTCCTGGTTTTACTGTTGTTAAAGTGTCAAAGCTACCAAGGTATGTGTGTAGCAGCCTTAGAAATCTAGAGCCTAATGCTACGTTCAGATAACCTGAATCCGCTAGATGGATTTGCTCCGCATATCCATCTGGAAACCTTCCGCTGAAGTA